TCAGGGGAGCGCCGACAGAACGTCCCCTCGCCAGGGATTTTCCCCGTCTGTCGCAAGCGTCTCAGAGGGCACGTCTTCGAGCAGGCTCGCTGCAAGGGCGTCGTGGATGGCGTACGCCACCATGCCACTCCACCTGTGAAGCAGCGCGGTCGCGAGCGACTCTCGGAGCGCCTCCGGCGCGCTCCTCGCCCGGGCTCGGGCCAGGGTAACGAGGAGCTTGGACGCCTCGTCCCAGCGTCCGCCCGTCTCTGCTCCGGCTACGAGCAGGTAGCCCCGCCGCGAGACCACCAGCTCAGGGTAAGTAGTCTGCTTGCGGCGCCTTGCCTGTTTCAGCGCGAGTCCAGGGCAGAGCCTCTGCGCAATCGGCCTGTCGGTGGTCCTCAGCGGGGAGACGATGCAGGCGTCGATGGCGAGCTGCCAGCCAGGGTAGGCAGGGAGGCCGTTGACCACCACCTCGATGCGGCGCCCGTCGCGGGCAGCAATGCCTGGGAGGTTCCCGTCGCGCAGGAACACGTTGGTGCGGACACGGCCTCCTGCCTCCCGGCGCACCCGGGCCCACACCCGCTCGATGGGAGCGCCGCGCTTGAGCAATCGTCCGCTGCGGGGGTACGCTGCTCTGTGGTCGCCTCGCTCGCCCAAGTGGGCCTGGCAGGAGCGCTCGTTGCATCTGCTCGTTGTGGTGCCCAGCAGCACACGAAGCCGTCTTTCTGGAGCAGCGCCCGGAAACGCTCTGGCGTGTGCGTTCTCTCCGGCGTCGAGGGGATCAGGGTCAGGTGCCGTCCGCCCCAGCGGCCCCCCTGCGAGTCGAGCATCCACTGCTGGTCGTCCGCAAGGCCTGTGAGCACGACTTCCTCTCTGTAGCGCTGCTCTCGTGCTGCTGATGCGTGGTGCTGCCACCCATGCTTCCACTCACCTGGCTCCTTGGCTCTGTCTGCTCAGGGCGCGCGCTGTCCTGGACCTCCTGCCTAGTTGGGCACGTCGCAAAGCCGTCGCGGGCGGCGGCAGCCCTCGCGAACTCTGCCTCCTGGAGGCACGCGGCTGCGGCGCCAGTCCCGGCGCGGAGGGCGGCAGTGAGCTTCGTTGCTGCTGCGGGGTTTCTTTGTCGCAACATGGGGAGCGCGTCCGCCCAGGACGCCCAGTACGCGCACTCGGCCGTACGCACGGCAGACCTGGGTCCGAGGCCCCCCAGGCCAAGCGGCAGCGAGCTCACTCGGAAGAGCCTCTCTGCGTCAGCTGGCCCGGGGTCGAGGTCTAGGAGGCCGTGGAGCGCCTCCCGCGGCCGTGGGCCTCGGCGTAGGGCCGCGACAGCGACGGGGGCAGCGTGCGCAGGACGTGGTTGCACCTCGGCGCCGCGCACGCACTGAAGGTATGGCGAATATGGAAGTTCTCGTTGGAAGCTGCGCTCCTCGTCCGTCCTCTCCTGCGTCTGCCAGGCCGCGAACGCTGCGGTACCCAGGGGCGTGCCGAGCACCTTGAGGCCACGGTGCTCCTCGGGCGTGCTGGCGCCGCCGACCCACACGCCTGTACCCCACGAGGAGTATCCGGCCAGTTCGACGCCGCCTCGGTTCCACATGTGGCACTTGCCCAGGTTAGCCTCGATTCTTGCTCACTCACGACTGGGAGCGGTGACCTCGCGGAAAACCTTCGTTGCGCGCTCTGGTTTGCAGAGGACGTGCGCGTCGTCCAGGTGCGCAAGCAGCGTCTCGCCCGGCTGCAGCGGCGCGCGCGCGCGCGCCATCTCCAGGGCGCCGTGCTCTGCCAGGGAGTACAATGCTGGCATGAGCGGTTTCCTTGCTCTCCACCCTCTCCTTGCCTCACCTCGTGTGCGACTCCGGCGTCGTCTGCGCAAAAGGTACGTCGACGGCTGGTCGTAGGAGAGCGTGACAAACGGAACCAAGACAGAGGCCTCCGGCAGCGACAGAAGCTTCTCGATCATGCGGTCGCGGCGCGCGTGGTCGAAGGCTCCGATGCCGTCGATGCTGACGAGGGTTGCTGTGGGGTCAAAGTCCGTGGCCGCGCAAAGGGAGCGGCAGCGCTGTCTGTGCCAGCTTGCGTGGACAGCGCGTGCTGGGACGGCGCGCAGGCATCTTCCAGTTTGGGCCCGAACTGCCAGGAGAGGGACTTGCGGACAAACCTCCCAAAGGCGCCCCCTGCGACAATGCTTCGTGTGCGGCCACTGTCTGTCAGCAGCGCCGTCATGCGGCCGGTCCCGAGGGGGCGGGCAGCGCTCGCTGGGGTCCCGGCCCGGGCGTAGCGCTCCGCCACGGCGGGGTCTCCGCCGTGCCCGGCGCCAGCCCGCGCGAGGCGAGTGGCCGCCGCGCCTTGCTGAGGCCGCCTGCTCTGGCCAGCGCCACCGCGCCTTCCAGTAGGCACTGGCGTCTCTCCTCGGCGTCGCCCCCCGTGCCGCGCGCTCCTCCCGGGGGCCGCTGCCCGTGCAGGCTTGGAACAACCGGCGCTTCCCAGGAGCCGTCCTCGAACTGCTCCAGTCGCGCTTCAAGCTCTTGCCGCCCTGGCGCTCCAGTGCTCGCGGTCCGTCGCAGCAGCGGGCGCCGCGAAAGGGCGAGGAGCTTCCGCGCCCTCTCCCCCTGCAGCCCGTTGTCGCCAGGAAGGGCGTCTGTGTGCAGGACTTCCTCGAGGACCGTGCGGTAGAGCTGGCGGAGGCGGCCGCGAAGGATGGCCGGCGGCGCTCGGATGCACGGCCCCCGCCGGCGCACTTCTTTCTCCAGGTCCACCCCGTCAAGACGCGCCCCGGCGGCGTCGGGGAAGGCAGACTGGGCCGGGCCGCGGTTTCGTCGCCCACCTCCGCCACTGCGCGGCAGCGCTGGCGCTGGTGGCGCGGCTGGCGCAGGCGTCGCGGGGCCCGCGCCGTCGGGGGCGCTGTCGCTCTGGCTGTCGCTGCCCGCTGGCGCCTCTTCCTCTGCCTCCTCCGGCGTCGTCGTCCGGTTCTGGCCCTGGCGGCGCCGGGGGCGCCGGGAGTGGCGGGGGCGGCGCGGCCGCCGCCCACGCGGCAGGGTTGCGCAGTTCGTCTGTGCGCGCCTCCACGCCCCGCGAGAGCACCAGGCCGCCGAACGATTGCAGCAAGAAGTCTTGCATCTGAGGCTGGATGAATCCGTTGGCAGCAGCGACGGCGCTGACCACCGGCGCCAGGTGCACGTGGCCCGGGCGGCGGCCCCTCCCTGTGGCTATCATGGCGTGCATCTCCGAGGGACGGGCCCCGATGAATCCAAGGCCTTGCGCGCACTCCTTGGTTGGCATTGGTTCTGCGCGCCCCATTGCGCCACCTCGGCTGGGTCCAGGAGGCCTGCTGCTGCCGGGAGGGGCGGCGCGTAGACGGCCGAGTTCGTGGACGCCTGGAGCGGCACTGCCGGCGGCGGCCACTCTGGGAATGGACTGCGCTGGTGTGGCCCTGGTGCGTCTGCCGCCGGCGGGTCTGGGCCCTCGCCGCCTGCTGCTGGCTTCGGCTGCCGTTCGGGCCACGCGGCCTCTGGCTGAGGCAGCGCTGTCGTGGCGCAGGCCCATCTGGCCCGCGCGTGTGCCGCCAGCACAAGGGTCTGTCTGGGTGGCGCGGGCGCGTGGCGATCGCGTGCGGTGCCGGCCCCTCTGGCGGCACGAGGTGCCCCCCTCGGTGCCGGTTGGCCTGCTCCTCGTTGGAGCTCGGGTCGCCTGCGACGCTCCGGCAAGCCAGGCAGCGGCGCCCCTGACAGGGGGCCCCTCGCCAGGCCCGAGGTTGCGAGCCGCGTGGCAGAGTTCGGGCCGTCGCCCCACCTGTGGTTGCAGAGTGGGCGCTCCGCGGCCTCTGCCTGGCTGGCGCCGCCCGAGTTCCGCAGGTGGGCGAGGCCGCAGCGGAGGGGGCGGAACCGGGCGAGGCAGGCCGCGTGGAAGCAGTGCGGGACAGGGCCGCAATCAGGCCATTGCACCACTGCCTCCTCAGCCAACCACTTGAGCGGCGCGTTGAAAACGCCAGCGCTAAACCTGTGGCCCTGCGCCGTGCCGCCGCCAAGCGATAATAAAAAAGAGATGTGGCCGCGAAGCGCAATGAATGGGCTGTCTGACGACATGGACTCGTCGATGAGGAGACAATCCTGGCCACGGACGTTTGTTCCGTAGGCGTTCAGGAGCATGGTGGGGTGGAGGGCGACATCAAACGCCCACTGGAGATCAGTGACCGCCAAATCTGTGGGCAGGCCCTGGGCGAAACGAAACTGAGCGTGAAGGAGAAGAGCAAGGGGAGGAGAGATGGGGCCACCCACCCTGCCCTGCTGGGCCACGCCGCAGTATGCCTGCAACAGCGTGGCGTTGGGCGACGTCCACAAACCATCCACGACAGACGTCATGACCGCCGAAATTGATAGAGTGCGTAGGCACAAAGTGGGTCGGACGACGCGGGGTCCCGATTTGTGGAGGGAGTCACCTGCCGGCTTGACCGCAGGGTGCTCGTGATGGCGCGCTGTCGGGAAAGGTTCGCGAGGGCCTGGGTAACCCTGCGGCCCTCTGGCACCGCCGACCTGACAGGAGCGAAACACCCGCGGAGCGCGGAGGAGGTGGTCGCCAAACTATCTAAGACGGCACCCGCCTCAGCGGTCGTATGGAGGGCGAGATCAGGAGTGGCAGGGCCAGCGCCAACCGACCGGACCGCCGAAACCGCGCGGGCCTGGGCTCGCTGCTCCTCCGGGTCAAAAGGGAAAATCACCAAGCACGCGGTCCATCATGTCAATCTGCAGCGCCTCGAGCATCTTCCCCACATTGACGGGGCGTCCATCTACCGGGCCGGCCAACGCTATGCACGGGAACGAACGCGAGACCAACCGATGGTTCGAGACTGCGCCGCTCGCATGGGTAACAGTAACGGGAATGGCACAGTGGCGCCCGGGCAGGGTCAGATCAATGCGCGTGCCCGAGTCATGCGGCGGCGGTAATCATAGCTTCGATTGTGCGGTCTTGCGCCGACTGGCGGCCGTGGAAGCCAGCGCAGTCAGGTGGATGCTGCAAGGCGTAAGACAGGTGGGCGTTACCATCCCCGCAGATCAACGCGCGCGCCCCCTGATGGCGCGCGCGGACAACAGCAGCGGAAGAAACAATGGCAGTCCACGTCGCCGCATCACCGTCCAGGACGGGGTAGTGCGCGCAGATGCCAAAGCGCGGGCCAAGGGTCTGCTAACCGGCAGTAGCGTCGCCCCAGAGCTCAAACCATTGGGCGTGGTCAGAGGACAAATCAGGGAGAGGGCGGAGGGGCGGGACAAACTCGTCGCGCGCAAAACTCCAAACCTTGCCCGACGAAGCCGACCTCGGGCCCAGCCGCGAGAACGGGGATCCCGCTGGTGGAACCGCTCCGGGCGGCAGGCGCGCGCCTGGCAGCACGCGAACGTCGGCGCCACTTCCAGATAAAACGTGGGCGACAGCGTGGGGGCGACACTCCAAGAGCACATCCGTGCCCGGGGCAAGGGGGCCTAGGCGGCCAAGGTTAAGCACCGGGAGGTGGACAGAGTCACGAGACCCTGGCCCCTCGGCGGGGCGCGTCCGGACGGCATCCCCCAGGAGGGTGCCCCCCGCGCGCGGGGGGGCAATCTGCCTGGGCTGCTGACGCAAGCCACCGCGCGCTAGTGAGGGCCCGACCTCCCAACTCATCAGAGTCGAGAGCGCGGGCGCCACTGCAGCGACCGGAGCAGCAGCCCCGTCGCAGCAGAGCAAGAGAGGGGGCGGGACAGAGGGGCAGGCTGCTAACAGGGCGCCGGGATCTTTTGCGAGCGCGGACAGCTCTAGGCCGCGGTCCTCCGTGCCAAACCAGAGTATGATCAAGTCACGCAATGGTTTCGCCTGGCAGGCAGGCCCGCGGGCGTGCATGGCTGGCCCCGCCCCTCCGCGCGCGGCGGGCGCGCCCGTGGGGGCCCGGCGGGTTCGCCGGGTCCGATTGCTATGAGGCGGCCGCGCGGCTGAGGACAGAGCGAAGCGGGACAAGGCGTGCAATGGGCCACAAATCTTGGTGGGACGTGGAGAGGACCGTCAGAGAACGCGCAGAGAAGATGAGAATGTGTGTGGCGGCAGGCACGCGCCAGCAGCAGGGCGGCGCCTCCTTCGGCAAGACGTCGCGCATCATGGATGGTAGCTAGAGGAAACAGGGCAGGCCGACGCAATTTAACGAGGGCACCACGCGCGCGCACCAAGGTCGCCAACAAGAGACCTGCTCCATGGCGCACGCACCGTGCATGGAGGCAAACGTGCATGACGACGCAGCATATGATTTCACGGGGACGTGGGCGGTGAGGATGTTGACGGGGATGGGGCGATGGCTGCAGTGCCTTTGCATCCGTGCAAGCGCGCGTGCAAATGTGCGTGCATCTCCAGCCTACTAGGGGCCCTTGAGCTAGCGTGGGTCGACCATGGACCCGATGAGCATACTTCCGCCGCAGATGCATCCGAAGTGATCGTGCATGTTGCCACGGAAGCAGAACGTGCGCACCTTGTACATCATGTTGGATCTTATTCCGACAAAAGAAACAAC